CCCCAAAACCCCAAAACCCCAAAACCCCTACTTTTAAAAACTAATTGAATAAATTGAAGCATCAATAATTATTAATTTTTGAGTGAGTTAATGAATAAATGAGAGATCAATGAATGACACCATTCTTGATTACTTTGGATGTGACAACTCCTTTTCCAGTGACAGTCCAGGGGATGCTTTCGAAGAGAGCAACTCCATTCTCATCAATTTTGATCTTTTCAGCTACTACATCCCATGGATTTTTCTTTGGGTTTAAAGCATCAGGAGGTCTTCTCTCATAACCCTCAAAAGTAACTAAATCACCTGGTTGAGCACCAGCAGGTGGTTGAAGTAGCTCAGCAGTATTTCTGTCTGGGGTTTCAGCGCAAAGAACCATACCGTGTGACACATGTCCAGCAAGATTTCTTGGCTTGAGATTGCAGAGCACAATGCACATAGCATCAGTCATATCTTAGATTGGCACTAGCTTTTATAGACCTGAGGCGATAGATCTGATTTCACCATTTCCAATATCTACCTCTTCGTTATAGAGTTTCTCAGAATTAGGATTAACCCAAACTTTGACGATCTTACCAACTCTGAAGTCCATTTGAGAAATCTCTGGGATAGCCTCCTCAGCAGCTTTCTTTGCTGGTTGCTTCTTAGTTTATTGCTGTTACTTTGGTTTCTTTTCTTGCTTTGGAGCTTCCTTTTTCTCCTCGTTATTGGTTGCTTCAGTGCTTTGAGAGGCATTAGTGGTTTAGGACTATACTTCAGCTTTCTTTTCAGCTGGTGCCTTTGATTCACCTCCAACTTTCTTTTCCTTTGAAGCTTGAGCCTTGGCAAGTTTCTTAAGCTAACTCTTGCTTGGTGGCTATGAATTGCTCTCATCTGGGAAGCTGACAAATAGATTGTGCTGTTGAACTTGCTCAAGTAGTCCTGGCAAATGTTGAACGTGATCAATCCATCTGAAGACATGTGGTAATGCGAACTTTTCATGATCAGCCAATTCATTCTATCAATTGGGGTGTTAAAGTTTAAATTAAAATACAAAGTGGTGAAGGAGATGTGCAAGAGCAACAATATCAGCAGTAGTAATTGAATGGCCAACTAAAAACATTTTCATTGATAGGTGGTCATTAATCATGGTGGCTAAATCGGATGGACTGAGTCTGATAGATAGTTCAATAAAACTCAATATCTAAATATCAATAAGTCATACTATAAAATTACCTCTAATCTAGTTAGTGAATCTGGCTTTCCAAAGAGGACCTCTTCTAGATAAACTGATCTAGCAATCTCAAGCATGATTGAGGATGGATTAGCAGTATGAACTGGCTATTCCTATCCCTAAGCATCACTAGTACTCTTGATCAGCAGTGGCAACTATAGTTAATATTATCACTTTATTTTGTACATGAGCTAGTTGGAGAGACTGCTGAGTGATCTTGGTTAGAGGGGTAAGGTTAACCATCTTTCTAGAGGTGGCTCTAAGATAGTTTGCAAAAAGTTGAACTGTCAAAGATAGCTTTGATTCTTGAATGTTTTAAGATATGAACAACTCCATCTTACTTAACTATTGTAATTAATTGATTAATAATTAATGATAAAATGAAATCAACATTCTTTGATATTTATACATAAATGAGCCATTCGGGGTTTTGGGGTTTTGGGGTTTTGGGG